CTATCTTTATGACTCTGTCTGTCTGTCTCTCTCTCTCTCTATCTATCTATATCTCTCTAATCCTATCCCTCTCACTCTCTCTCTTTCTCTCTCTCTCTCTCTCTCTCTCTCTCTCTCTCTCTCTCTTTCTCTCTCTCTCTCTCTCAGTCTCAATTTAAGTCTCTCCTACTCTCAGCTGAGCTTTAACTCCTTGTCTTTATCTTAAGTTTTATGTCCGTCCCTCAATTTAAGTCTGCACCTGCCCTTTTTTTTACCTTTCTCCGCCAAAATGTTTGTATATTCATCAGAGCCTGTGTACTTTAAAAGGGGTTGAACGCTATATAAATGTTATTTATCATTATTCACTTTTATTATCTGTCTCATCATCAGTATGTCTCTCCATTTTTACTTCTCATTAGTTTGTCGACATCCATCAATCCATCGATCCTTTTTTTTCGACACTTTAATTAGTTCACCTGTACCTGGACCAATTTATCAATGCATCCATCCTTTCATTCATCCTTTCATCCATCTATCCATCCCTCCTCCTTGTATTCTTTCACTTTTCCTTTTATCCATTCATCCAACCCTACATTTATCCACCCATACTTACTGCATTCATCCACCCATCAAACCAACGAACTTACCATTATCTTAGGAAGAATCTAGATCCCAAAGATCCGGTGAGATGTCAGATGATCGAGCTTTTGCCTTCCACCCACCAACCCTTTGTCATGCAGCCATCATTTTGCCCGTACGACCCGTACCGGCCTATCTATCTGTATATACCTTCCTTCCTGCATCAATTCAAGCATCAATCAATCCATCTATCAAACTAGCTTACGAATACCGTGTGAAGAATCTCGATTTCAATGGATCTGAAGAGATTTCAAATGACCCAGCTTTTGCCATCCATCCATGGATTCATCGATACATCGATCCATCCATCCATCCATCCATCCATCCATCCATCCATCCATCCATCCATCCATCCATCCATCCATCCATCAATCCTCCGACCTCCTCTCTCTTTTCCATCCATTTACCCATTCACCATTCCATCTTTCCCTTTCTCTATCCATCCACCTAACTTACTATTCCTTTCTTCCTACATATGTCCTTCCATCCACACATCCACCCATCCATCCATCCATCCATGCATACATACATCCATCCATTCACCCATTCAACTTACGATCACCATTGGAAGAGTCCAGATTCCCAAAGATCCCCTGAGATTTCAGATGACTGAACTTTTTCCCGCTTCCATGTCCTCCCTTTTGAATGTGTTCTAAAACGTAAGTTCAAAAAGCATGCTCAGAGAATTAACTTTGTGAAAATCAATAATTAATTAAATATAGATTATACGATATTGTATTTCTCTTTCATATGTAAGCATAGCAAGTTCAAATGTGATATAGTTAGGTAAAACGTGACATAAAGGGAAACCAAATATGGCATACAACTTTAAATACGAACATAGAAAGGGCAAAACTACTCATAGATCTAATGCGTTTAAATGTAGAAACTGCCCTTTCAAATATGAATAAATGCAGAAAGAAATGTGCCATTTATTTCAAGTGCAAATGTAATAAGGCTGTAAAGGCTCTCAAAACAACAGTTGCTCGATTCCTCCTCATTTTCCACTGGAAGAGACACTGACCTGGTGAATCAACTCTGCTCTCAGGGGGAGGGGGGTGTTTACAATGCAAACAGAGAAATAATATCCTCGCTCTTGCATATCCCTAAAATCAGCTTGCATCTTTGGAGCAGTAACCACTTTGACTCCCTGTTCCGTGATTTGGGTTTAGCTGGTGTGAACTTCGGTCAGTGTTTCAGGTATTGATGAATGGTGAGTAAGGAAACTGAAATCGGAGACCAAAATTGTGGAAGCAACTGCAGGCTAGCTACTTGTCTGTGAGCAGGTGCATTATCTATAGCGAAAAGGAAATTGTTAGGGGACTGTTACCCACTTGGGGACTGTGCAGTGCGCTAGCGCTGCTTTTGGCACTGGGGGACTGCAAAGAAACAACCTTTGAACTTTGGATCGAGATCAACAAGCCATCATCGGACAGATCTAGATCATACTGATACATAACTAGATCAAGATCAAGATCTAGTTAAGTTAATTAGTATGGTGGGAGAATCTGGATCTAGAGCCAAACACTGTTTATTTAAGGTGAATTTATCGATTATGTCGACAGGTTTAATGTTCTATCTAGATTCTAGATCTAGATCTAGGCCTAGATCTAGTAGTAGTACTAATGACATAGACTGTAGACTAGATCTATACTACATGGTAGGTCTACTCTTCTTCAATTTAAAAAGTTGCAGTCTGTGTCTATAATATCTAGGAAGTGCCTATTTGCAACGCCGCGTTGCGATTAGCGCCAGTGCTAAATAAAACGCCGCGTTGCGATTAGCGCCAGTGCTAAATAAAACGCCGTGTCGCGTGTGTAAAATATCAAGCTTAATCTGCACATCGTTATTGGATGTTCTGATGGCCGAAGTGACAGCGCGTCTGCGATTGAAGTTAAACCATTTTTTATATTTTTTTTGCGTGGGTTCGATCCCGGTCCCGGACGGGTTGTTGTTTTTTTTTCTTGGTTTTGTTGTTGTTGTTGTTATTGTTGTTGTTGTTGTTGTTGTTGTTGTTGTCGTCCAACAAATTCTTCTCATCATTATATCTTGTTGCTTTGTAGTTTTTTATGTAGTGATGAAGCATGCACATTCTGGTTTTGTCCCCAAGGGGAGCTCTGTACAAAGTAGGCCTTAGTATAGCCTATACTTTTCCTTTTACAAATTTAGTCCTGGTTAAAGTTCAGTAGTGGCTTTCCTTGGTCTGTGAGTCTAATTTAGTTTGGTTTTTTTTACTTTAGGCTCAGGAGAAGGAAAAAAAAAACCTTTCGGGACCGGGATTCGATGCCACGCTTGGAAGCACTGAACATTAGACTTAGAGAACGTAGACAGTAGACAGCTTGTATACGTTCTCTAGTCCTAACTTAAAGTTCGAGTTGCACCGTCTTGTTATTGTTATCCAAGCGTCTTTCGACTTAAACTTGCTCAAAACTCTAACTTATATGATTATGATTATGAGAGATGAACAAGACGTCTACCTTTGTGCAAATAATGTCAGAAACAATTGTTAAATCCTTCTAGATCTAGATTTTTCTAGATATAAATCTACCCAATATTGATCGGAATAAGACAACGTCATAAAAAAAGGAGTCAAATCCTAGGAGGTTTATAAAAAAAAAACTGAGAAAGCTTCCACAATTCAGGCAGAACTACAATATTATCATGTAGAAACGATGGCTATTACATGTAGATGCTTCCGCGGAAGCCGAGAATGTTTCAGAGTGTTCTCAAAGGGTCTGCTGGGGTAATAATAGTTGTAAAGCGCATAGAGCATGCTATTGAGCATGGATATGCACTATATAAATGCAATTATTATTATTATTATTAGATCTAGATCTATATTCTAGATCTAGTACTGGCGTTTCAAATAGCACGGGAGCTATTCAGAACGCGGCGTTGCAAATAGCGCTTGCCTATTATCTAAGCCTAGACCTAGATCTAGATCTAGATATAGTTTAGATCTAGATCTAGGCCAAGTAGTAGGCCTAGTATAAGTATTACCAAAGATCATCTACTTCCAATAGGTACTACAATCCTTCTTTAGGATTTCGGTGTGAGTATTCGCACCCGGGGTGAGAATACTTCACATAATATGATAGATCTATTTTATTCTCACCCAGGTTTTTTCGTTTCCACCCTTTTTAGATCTAGATCTAGATCTATTTTGTTTAGATTTTGAGTTTTTGTTAGGGGCGGGAACGAGACGAGCCGAGTACCCGTTTCTCGCGGGTAACGGCCTTCCCGTCGCTTCTAGGGCACTAAACTACTGCTCGGTACCGAGACATGATACTGCTCGTTGGCTTGACACAACGAGTAACAGTAACGAGAGTGAGAGAGTGAGAGGCGAGAAATGACAACGCAGACAGTGCCACCCATCACCGTGCCGTCCTGTGTGTGAAACTGAAAGGGAGGGGAGAGGTTGGCGAGACGAGGCGAGTGGGGAGTTGATCAGGGCCTAGGCCTAGGTCTCCCTACCTTCCTTCACCGCCTGCGCCTGCGCAACAGGGCAAGCCTAGTTTCTAAGTTTAGATCCCCGCCACGATCGGTCTTCTCGCTAAACGAGCTGCTCGTTCTGTGGGGCGTAAGGGTGGGCCGACTCCGAGAACTTCCGAACTTTCGACTCCGAACATTTTTGGGCGCGAATTCGTCGACTTCGACTCCGAATTCGAATTCAGGTCAAGATAGCAGCCAATCAAATTTGAGGAGAGGCAAGGTCAATTCGGTGGGATTCGTGTCAAGTCAAGTCGTTCTCCCTACATCCGTCGAGTCGAACACGCTGTAGAGAATCCCGACGCCACGGACCGGTGCAGACAAAGGGGGCGGGGAGGGGGGAGGGGGAAGGAGCAGGGAAGAGGTCACAGAGGTCGGGATTGAGGCAGGCAATGTTTTCATTGACATCAGGGGAGGGCATCAGTTTGTTTGGAAAGTTACTTGCCCCTCGTTGACAGTACAGCCGCTTTCATGTGCGAGGATAATGGATGCAAACAGGTCATAATAAAAATCAAAGCATAAAATCCAGCAGTCTCGAACTCTAAAGTCAGACCATGCATTAATCAAAGCAACAGTCAGCAAGACAGAAGTCTATAAAAAATAACAGTAATAGATCTAGATCTATATCATAATCAACATTTATTATGACAAGATGAAACATACAAGGTTGAAAACAAACATTGAGTAATGCAAAAGAGACAAGAAATGTGACAATGTAAATGTAAGTGCCAGACAGGTCGTAAGAAAATACATGTAGATAGTACAATGAAGAGAAGAAAAGTAGTGAAATGTGTGTGATCGCCGCAGTGAAAGCCAAAGAAAGAAGGAGGCTGGGATAATCACGGGATTAGAATTTGACGTGAAGATGGCTTGCAATTGTGATTGGTCAATGATAGTACATAACAAGATGGGCCACTTCTCTCTTTGAGCCAATTAAGAAAGTGTCCTCAAAATTTGGTGGCGCCCTCTTCACAAAAGCGCACTCTTTGCGAACAGAGTTACCCTACTTGAGTTTTTAAAAATCAAAGTGAAACTAGCAAGTTTTTGGATAAATTTCGGAAGAACGCTTTTTTAAAATGGTTACGCTGACAAAAAACCTCTTCCGGAGGAAAGGGTGATGGTTTTCTTCGTTTAATTTGACTTTAGAATGAAAGGCGAGAGGTCATTAAAATAAAATAAAAAAACAAAAACTCCGCACCGAACGTACCCGAACTGCTGATGAACAGCAGTCGATCTGCGCACGCAAGGAGGTGCTATTCCTATTCTTCTTCTGGAAAAACGAAAGAGAGCTTCAAAACAGACTGCAGCGCCATCTGAAGCAAAGAGCATACTTCCTGCGGACACTTTTTTGGCTGAGTGGCCCATCTTGTTATTCACTATCTTTGGATTGGTGCAATCAGAGACGCAATGCTCGTCCGTCACCGTAGTGCGTAAAGTTGACCTTGGCCTCTTAGGGCATAACCACCAGCAGAACGGATTTGTAACTGCTAGCGAATCAGCGCGTTCTAAAGGCTCATGTGACTTTCATTGAGTCGATGGAATCGTGGGACGGTCCAATTCGAACTCGCCGCTTCCTTCTGAACACAGCGAGGGGAAAATAGAAATCAGACATCGTGTTTTATGATACTTATGCATTTTTATTCATTTATTGGTAAATCTAAATTTTGAGCGTCCAAAAATGTTTCTTGGGTGCAGTTTTGCGTAAAATTATTCACAGTTTTAAACAAATTAAATATGTTTTCGCTCCTCGTGATCCATTTCCCCCTTGGCTGCCCTAGTTCGGGAATTCGTGTTCGGACTCGTCCTCCTGCCCAATGTTCGAGCTCCGACTCAGACCCCACGAATTCGTCGAATTCCGAACTTCGACTTGACTTCGCCCATGCTTAGTGGGGCGAGAAGAGAAATCTCGGCCGTGGCCGGCCTTCTCGCTGAACGAGTGGCTCGAACTGCGGGGCGAGAAGAGAAATTGGTCACGAGACGAGAAATATTTCTCGAGACACGAGACGGGAAGTATTACCCGTTCTCGGGACCGGTCTCGGCGGGAAGTAGGTCAGCTTCCCGGTCTTCTCGCTCGGAAAGGAAATATCGCTTCCCGCCCGCCTCTAGTTTTTGTACAGTCCCCCAACAACTTCCATTGCAATATCTTGAATTGGTAGGAGAGAATCTTTGGTAATACTAAACTAGATCTAGGCCTAGATTTGAGATATTATACACAGAGACTACCATGTAGTGTTGTCTATACAGTCTACGTCATGATCATAGGTAGTTCTACTGCTATATCTAGATCTAGATCTAATCTAGATAGATCCTATTCTTGGTTAACAAACCTGTCGAAATAAAAATATAAATTCGCCTTAGATAAACCGTGTTTGGCTCTATATCTAGATTCTCCCACAACACTCATTAACTTAACAGTTGGAAGATCCAGATCTATGTATCAGTAGTGTCTAGATGTAGATAGATCTAGAGACCTACAATGAAAGAACTATTACAATATAAATCTAGATCTAGTCTAGATCTAGACTATGTCAATTCTACTGGATCAACAAAACTTTCACCATTTGCCTTTCCCCCAAAAAAACCAATGGGTCACTCTACCATAAGGCCAACTCATTAATTTTTCAAAACAGAACATCATAGCTGCCAAAAACATCGCCAACAGTCAAATCAGACAACACGTTGTCAATTTGTCATGGGAGGAAATTTAAATGCTGTTAATGTCTAATGATGGCTTGTTGGCCTCGATCCAAAGGTCAAAGGTTGTTTCTTTGCCGTCCCCCAATACCAAAAGCAGCGCTAGGGGACTGCACAGTCCCCGAGTGTTCGCACTACGGGACTGTACAGTCCCCGAGTGTGTAGCTAGCGCTAAGCGAAAAATGCATCCACTGTGATGTCCACAGTGTCTGAATGAATGAATTGGAATTGGAACGGCCATCTTGCCATTCCTCCTTCAGAGTTCATGGTAAATGAGGCCATCAACTCTTCTCTCAGTGAATGTCAGTGTAAGAAGTCTTCCATGTCAGCTTCACGGGTTCGTTTCATTCACGGATGTATGCCTGCTTCATCAGTTAGATGAATTAACCGACATATACATGACATGTGCCATGTTGCATGTGCATTGCGCAGATCTTTGCTGAGGTCGGAATTTCTTTCAGCAAGTGTTTTCTAACTTTTTCATGGTACCCAAGAGCCTGTAAAGAATTTTAGTTATGATTGCCCGGCTAACATAGGTGACCTGAGGAAGACAGATTCTTGATCATGCTTATAATGAAGGGCGAGTGCCTCTCAACAGCTTGCATGTCAACAAGCACATTTACTTGTCTCTTACAACGAGGCAGTGTTACTTGGCCATTTCGCTATTTGCAAGTAGTCTCCACCTCTTAGATATTAAGTATCTCTCATGTAGATATTATGTATTTCTCGTATATTCAGGCTCCGTTTACATCCGCGATTTTGGAATAAATCGCACTGCATGTCCTTTCTTCACACTCAATGATACTCAAAGTTTCTCTTAATATCACATTTGAGCGTGCAAAGTCACATTAGAAAGAATAACCGTTTTCTTTTTAAAGCTGCAATGTTCAAATTAAAATTTTGCTTTCACAGGAAGCACCGTAGAGCTATTTTTAAAAAAGCATACGTGTGTCACATTTGAACTTCCAATTTCTCAAAATTTCACCAGTGATATATTTCCACTGCCTATGTCACATTTGAATATGCTATGCTCACATTTGAAGGGGAAATGCTACATTAAAGCCTCAACACAAAAAAATTATATTTGACGTTTCTAACACAGACCGATCTTACACACACACACACACACACACACACACACACACACACACACACACACACACACACACACGCACACAAACACACACACACACACACACACACACACACACACGCACAAACACACACACACACACACACACACACACACACATACACACACAAACACTTGAGGATTGAACTGACCTCCTCTGTGAAGACTCTGATCCCTACTCCATTGACGCCGATACTCTAGATAGATAGATAGATAGATAGATAGATAGATAGATAGATAGATAGATAGATAGATAGATAGATAGATAGATAGATAGATAGATAGATATCATTATGTTACTCGGAACCAACACAAAATTGTTATCTTTTTTTATTAAAACTTATTTTCATTTGTCTACTCACTGTGCGACCGTTCTGAAGGAGCCGGGACTACCACCGAAACGCAGACCAAAACACAAAGTGCTGACGTCATCCAAAAGCTCAAAGAGCAGATCACAGACATTGTTGTTGAAAGCAATGAAACAATAACTCCTTTTCAAAAAAGTTAAGTCCTGCCTGAGCTAACAAAACGAGATTTTCCGGCTTAATTTTGACAAAACTTAGTATTCTCTTCTCTTAAGGAGACTTAAATATTATATTTTTTTAATGTGTCGGGGTTTTGTTTGGGTTTTTTGGGGGGGGGGGGGTTTGTGTGTTTTTTTGTTTAAAAAAGACGTACAATGTTGCTTTTATTATAAACTAAGCTTTTAATTATTGTCCTTTGATTTTTCCTTTTATTGCTGCTTGATTTTTTTCTTCGTTTTTAAAAAAATTATTATACTTGTATATTATCTAATTTTTGAATATTCTTAGTCTTTCTTCAGTTCTCGTTTCCATGTATACTTGAGCTTTTTTTTGTTATCTTTTTTTCCCTTTCCCTTCCTTTGTGCTCTTTAAATGATTGTCTTTCTGCTTTCAGTTGCTC